GGCAGCGGGACGGTGGCCGCAGCCTGCCCGGCCCCGCGTCCCGCCACCGCGCTTGGACGCACACCACTTTCCCGGGGTCTGGCTGGCACCGCCATGTCCGCCGCAGCCCCGGGGACCTGGCACGGCCCTGCCTGGCACGTCCCCACTTGGCACAGCCCGGCTCGGCCCTGCAGCCCTTGCGGGACCCTGCCTGGCACAGCCCTGCCTGGCTCCGCTCGGGGTCCTGGCACAGCACTGCCAAACTTGACCCGGCCTCGAGATCCCCCCCTTCCGACACCTGCCCATTGCTCTCCTGCTCGACCCTGACACCCCTGGCATGGCCTTGCCCAAACCTGGTGCCCCTGCATTGCCCCCCAGCACAGCTCTGCCTGGCCCCTGGCCTCATACTGGGTCCACCTGGCACAAGCCTGGCTCTGTGGCACTGCCTGCCCTCAGACCGGTCCGCCCTGCCTGGGGACACTGGAGGAGTGACCCCTCAAGCATCTTCCAGCACTCGGCTCCAACTCCTCTGGGGAGACATCCCTGGGGCAGGGGGACACGCAGGTGGGTGACGGGAGCAAGCTCCAGGAGCAAAGAGACCTGGAGAAGAGTGCGAGGAGGGCCGGCTTGTTTACAGTGATCTCATCTCAGGTGCAGCCGGACCCAGGAGGGAGACAGCCCCCAGCACCGGCTCACAGCAGGGAGCAGGAGCTGCCTGGGGCAGGAGGAAGCTGAGGGGTCTGGGACTTAACGGGGGCCACACCAGGGCTGGGCAGCCGGGGGCAGGAGGAGACTGTGCCTGTAGGCTGCCATCCCAATTTTCTCCCCCCTGTGCAGCCTCAGGAATGGTTTCCCAGGGCCCTGGGTCTCTGCTTCCTCTTGCACCATCCGTGACTCACAGCAGAGTTTGGGGATGCAGCTCCCAGCCCTGCAACATCAGGGCTACGGATCCTGGAGTTGGGACAGCCACCCTGGGGGACCCTGATCCACCTCTGCTCCCACCTCCGCTGAGCATCTATCCAGCCCACTGGGTTAAAACGGGGTGTCTGCTACCAGTGTTGGGCAAAGCAGTGCACCCTCACTACTGGTGAGCTCACTCCTCCCTCCAGGAAAGATCTGGGCTCTGTCCCCCTTACTGGGAGGGTATCATCCCCCATTCCCTGCCCATCTCTAGCCCCTGGCTTGCCCATCAGTGCTCCCTTTGCCTCCATCACCAGCAGCTTCTCCGCTTCACTCGGGCACATTTGCTCCCCGTCAGCAGTGTTTGGTGGTGAATGACTCAGGTTTTATCTGCGGCTTGGCACGGTTCTCCTCTCCCTCCTGGGCGCAGGAGGTAAGAGACTCCCACCACCTCTGGAGGTTTCCCACCTGCTCCTTCCCTGCCCTCGCACACAGGGATCGGGCTCCCAGTCCGCAGCCTTGGTGTGGTGACCAGGATTGAGCTGTCCTGGCCGCAGCACGGGGACACGGGGACCTTCCCTGAGCTGGGCACTGCATCTGGGCTGCTGCATCATGTCTGGTCCCCGGGGTCTTTTGCTTTCACTCACTAGCTTCCATCCTACCTGCCCCATGGGAATCCTATCACCTCAGATCTAGAGGAGAAGTCAGCAACAGGCAGCTCTTGGGGAGGGGACATCCCTGCCAAGGCCGGGGACAGGCTGACACCGTGCCCGGGGCCCCAGCCCCTGTGGGCAGAGCTCTGCGGCAGGTCCACGCAACGCACGGCTCATCTGCCGGCGTGTTGAAAGTGCCTGTTGTCCCCCCGCCCCAAGCGCCCAGCCTCCTCGCAAAGGCAGCGCGGGGCAGGTGAGAAGCCTTTATCTGATTTCCTAAGGGCAGAAAAATCCCTTTGATTTTGCCCCGAAGAGGGGAGGGGCAGAAAAATCCCTTTGATGTGGCCCCGAAGAGGGGAGCGGGAGGAGGGGGAGCCCCATCCCAGCGAGCAGGGGCGGCTGGCGCACAGCGACTCGCCTTATCACGTCCCAGCCCCGCGCGAGGCTGGAGGGGGCCAAGGGGGTCGTGATGCCCCCAGCAGCTATGTGGGAACATCACCTGGGTCCTGCGGCAAAACCCCCCAAGAGGTTCTGGTGGGGCGGGATGGGCAAAGGTAGGCTCCTTGCCTTGTGCTTGTAACAGGGGGGCTGGGACCAGGGGGATGCCTGGGGTTCGCCCCTGCCTCCCAGCTTTTCTCCCACTTGCATAAAAATCCCCTTTTAGCAAGGGGGAAACTGAGGCATAGAGATGCTGAGACCTGCTTAAGCAGCCGGGGGGTGATTGCTCGCTCTCCCAGCCGCAGGAGTTTGCTCACCCCACCTTCTGCAACAAGACCCGAAAGGCCACATCCTTCAGGGGACAAGGCCACGGTGGTGACACTGAGCCAGGGCTATGGGCAATGGGGATGCCACCGCCACCTCGAAGCAGCCTTCTCCGCCGTGGCTGATCCTTTGTCTCTGCCTTCCCTCGCCTCTTGCAGCTCCCCCCCTTTTGTGTTATTACAAATTATAAAACAATTTTTTCCTGCCGTCCCGCATTCTTCTGCCTCCTGCAAGAATTTTAATGTATTTATTTTTGCTATCAGGGGAAAGCGCCGTGTTCCTCGGCCACCCCCGGGCAGCCCCGGCCCCGCTTGGCCACTGATGGAAATTAATGATGGGGGATGCAGCAGGAGAGCAGGCACCCCTGTACCCCTGCAGCAGAGAGGTGGGGGGACAGGTGTACCCCCAACCAGCTGTGGTTTCCCCAATGGCAAAGTCTGAGTGTGGAGGATGGAGAGCCGGGCTGCAGCGGGGAAGGGTGTGATGGGGCAGTGGGGACTGGTCCCCAGGAGATGCTGCTGGTTATGGGCTGGGGAGAGGACGGCTGTTGGGTGGCTGGGCAGGGCCAAGGGGTGCTTTGGGGTCCAGCTGCAGGGTTCTGTGATGGGGAATCATGTCCCCGTGTAGCAGAATGGCTTTGGGCTTCCCCTGGGGAAGAAGAGACTTCCCCCAGACACCAACCCACCCTGCCCCGTGCGACAGCATCCGCAGTGGTCCTCATCCTGCTCCTGGGACAAAGCACCGCCCGTATGCCCCATCCTGCTCGGGGACACAGCCCCCCCCTCGACCCCCCTCTGCCCCTAAGCTGGTGCCCCAGTGCTGCGCTGAGCTCTGGCTCTCGCTCCCCACTGCATGGCCCCAAGGGCAGGGATGGGGGTGCCCCGCTCCCTCAGCCCCCCCGCCCCACAGCCGCAAGGTTGGGGGGGCTCTGGCCGCTGGGCG